GCAATATAATAACGTGTTGTAAAAATATTTATTTATTTTAATTAATAATTAAAAAAAAAGAAGTTAAAAGGTTACACAATGAAAATCATAATTCTTCTTTTTTAAAAAATAAAATATATGCTTATATGCATCTTTTAAAAACCTAGCTAGCCTTACCATGCTCAACATGTTTTTGGTGTTTAGATATAGTTTTCCAAGGCCCATAGCTTATCTCAAAAAGAAAAATTCATAATGAAATTAGCTTCTAGAATTTTCTTCAGGTTGACTGCCATCCTTCAGGGTTGGCCATGATACTGGTCCATTAATGGTCCATTAGATCCATTAATGTAACCTTTTAACTATATTTAGTATTTCATTAATGGCAATGGACCCGACCAAAACTTGTTGGTTTCAATGGACCCAGTCTATTTCCAACCTTGCCATCCCTAAATGAAGGAAAAAATACATCATTAATATCATAAAAAATAAATTTCATAATTTGTACTATAACTTGATGAGACAAACTTTTTTCATTGATTGATTTCTCACATCTTATATATGATTTTGTTGACCATAATTTTTTGAAGGTTTCCATCAGAAGGTACTAAATTAGCATAAACAAGTTAGCATTAAATGTTGAGAAATTATAATTGTTTATTGTAAATTACCTTTAAATATTTTATCATGAAAATCACTTGTTGTCAAAATCTCTATTATCAATACAATCAACAACATCATCATCATAAATGATAAATGTTTGATTATCTTCTATTTTTGTAATCATTGTATTAAAAGAAATTTTTATGCTTCAGTTGCTACAAGAACTTTATATGGTCTATTTATTTATTTATTTTTTCAAAATATATTATTAATAAAATTTGATAATGTACTTGCTTACTCATATTTATTTAATAAATCACCAAATAATAAGTGATTATCATGATCAAAGAGGATGAATCTTAGGTCACACATAATCTCAAATAACGTGATCATTATAGCTTTAGTGAAAGATTGCATTTTATAATTTTGAATGCAAGTGTTTTAATTTGAGAATAATCTACACAAAAAGTTGTATTACAATTTTTATGTTACAGAATGATGTGGCAATTTATATTTATAAAATTCTCACATTCTCATATGCATAAATGCTATAATTGATCATTATTTATCTGATATACATTCCTTAAATATATTTTGTCGAGGAGAGGTCACTTTGGTTGTGATTGAGAAGAGAGAAATCATCAAAAATACTCAAGTTTTGTTTTTTAGATTTTCCTTTAGTGGGATGCATTGTTTTGTAATTTTCAAACAAGTAAAGTTATTACACTCAGAACCAAATAGGTTGTTTTGTCAAGAAATAGTCAATGCAAATCATACCTAGGAATTTCAAGAGATCATAATATATTATAAAGGAAATTTTTTTTACTCCAATGTTGCTTTTAAAATGTTTGATTTATTAATAAAATTAATTCTTTTTTTTCGCTTGTGTTTTGTTGATACCTAAAAGGCAAATGATTGTCGCACACGTGATCAAAATGGGGTGGGGTAAGTGCTTCTATTAAAACAATATTAGCTAATATATGTCAGCGCCTTTAGTTATTGATAAAACCATTTTCAATTGAAATCACGTGTTTCACATGTTTCACGAGTTTCACGATTAAAGTGGTTTTTAGATCTACAAATTAATTTAATTAAAAATATTCCCAAGTTATATTAAAACTCAAAAAAAAAGTAAAATGGTGGCATTACACAATAATAACAATAACAGTAATAAGAATAATCATAATAATCATAATAATAGCAGTGATAGTAATAGCAATAAGAGTGATAATAATAATAGCAATAAGAGTGATAATAATAATAGCAATAATTTTTCTAAAAATTCTTATTCAACATCATCAAGCAATCATAAAAATCACCCATTAGATTTATTATATTTTGATAGTAGCATTGGTAATTCAACATCAACGTCTACGTCAACGTCAACGTCAACATCAACAACATCACCCAATTTTATAACAAAACTTTTGCACATTCCAAGAAGACTAGTTCATTTAACATTTATACGTAATCTAAAGAAATTCAAAAAATCACAATTATTTCTTGTATTGTTTATATCATTAGTTGTCTGTTCGATATTTTATTTTTTCATTCTGCCAGTTATTAGTTTATACTCTTTAATATTAAAGTATAAATTGAAAAATTATTTATACAACAATGAATTACTACCTTGTTCACTACGCAAGGATCCAATTCTATATATTGTCAACTCAGAAAATATCCTAGTAATTTGGGAGACAAATTGTCCATTCTGTAATTCACAAGTCAAATGGTATCAAGTAATCAATAACAATAGTGACACTAGTAATAATGTTAGTAATAGGATTTATAATGATGATGATGATAACAATAATAATATTGATGGTAATAACAATGATAATATTAATGATGAAATTAAAGGTAATATTAATGATAATGATATAAATGGTATTAATGATATTGATACTAATTATAAAAATGATAATGATAGTGATGAAATTAATAACGATGGTAGAATTTTTTTAAATATGTCTAGTATTTTAACACATTTAGAAATAGATGGTTCACATTATTTATATAAGTCATTAATTGGACCATTTAAGAACATTGGTAAATATGAATACGAAATAATTTATCAATCAAATGGAAATTGCACAAACAATACCAATTATGAACCAATTGTTATTGCATCAAACACATTTACTATATTTCCTAATTTATCACCACCATCTTCGTCACTTTTCAACACATCATCATCTTCCACACCATCATCTTCACTGTCATCAATATATCCTATAAGAATATTGGGATTTGCTGATAATCAATTTAATTTAAAAACATTTAATCAAATTGTTAAATCAGCATCAATACTGCACAATCAGCCCAATTTTATATTACATGTTGGTGATTCTGTACAAAATTTTGATAGTTTACAGCAATGGCAAACTGATTTTTTTGATCCATTGATCAATTATAAATTAATCCAAAAATCACCAATGATTTTTGCTCATGGTAATCATGACTTTAATCCATTGTTAGATTACTATTACACAACAAATAAATTATGGTATTCATTCACTATAGCAAATACACGCTGGATAGTATTGGATAGTAATATTGATGAAGAGTCACAGGATAAATGGTTGATAAAAGAGTTATCATCAATCGAATCAAAATTGGCCAAGTTTCGTGTTGTGGTGGTACACATACCACCCTTTGTTGAATTTTGGGATCCAAAATCCTGGAATGAGAAATCAGAAAAATATTGGGGTGATTTTGTTAGGAAGAGGTATGTGCCTCTATTTCAAAAATATGATGTTGATTTGGTGATAAGTGGACATCAGCATAATTATCAACGTGGTCAATTTGATGGTACTGTTTACACCATAATTGGTGGTGCAGGTGGTAAACTGGATTTTGAGAGAGTTGAAGATTGGAAAATTTATTCAATTGTTAGAAAAATTTACCATTATGTGTTGATTGAAATTTGGTCTGATAAATTGATTTGGGTAGTTTATGATATTAATAATAAAATTATAGATAAATTCGAATTAGGAAAAAGAACAATTTTCACTTAGTATTAATTTTAATTTTTCTTCTGTTAATTATAATTTGTAAATAAATATGATTTTTTTATTTAATAATTAGTTCATTATAATTTTAATATTTTATGGATAACATTAATTTATTATTTTTCAAGCATACCGTTTTTCTATATGATTTTGCAATGCAATTTATTTTCTTTTTTTATTAGGGTATTTATAAAAGGCAAAAAAAAGTTAGAAATTATTAAGCTTCTTGCGAACTGGCTTACATGGAGCTTTTTAAAATAATAAATAATAAAACCAAATTTTAATGTAAAGAATTTACCTTTAAAATTAATTTCCAGTTGTAGTAATTCCTATATCACATAGCCACCTTTAATATTTAAACATACAATATAATAAAAATAAGACAATGTTTAGGGAATCAAAAAAAGTTTAGGGTCACAACATTGGTGTTTCCTAAGATGTTAAAGAACGAGGAACATGCCAATCTTCTCCTTAGTCAAAGAAGAAGAAACTATCGGAGAGTCAAGGTCATTACGTGGATGACCAACATTATTTTACCAGTTGATTTATGTCCAATGCTTATGGACCCAAGGCTCTAACCATTTTCTTACAGCCGCCAATATGGCTACTCGAAAAATTGGATACGGAACTTATTAAATTTAAAAAGAGCTAGAGATATTCTAAAGTCTTCAAGAGAATTTTCAACATAGTAGAATACAAACTTCTACTGCCAGATTAGAAGTTGATAGTGCAAAGAATTCGATAATTCTCTAGTGCGAGGCTTTTTCCGTAATGATATAGGCGTACTAGTAGGATTTGGCAATCTGGAAAACATCGACAGGAATGATGAAAGAGCAATCAATCACTGAAAAAGCTTCTCCTTAAATAGACGAACGCATAAGAAATGAAAACCGGGCCATTTTATATTTCGTCAGACACTTTAGAAGTTTTTCCCTTCAAACATTACCTTGCACATTTCGTTATTACAATATTAATAGAGACCCAATCATTAGATAATTTGTATTTGATAATTATTAGTCTCGCCCCCTATGATTTCCCTCTTTTTTAAAAAAAAATCGCAGACATAGTTAATTAGTATATTATTATATGCCATATCGATGACCCGATTGTTCAGCGTGGCCCTTCTACTTTGCCCTATAAAAAATAATAATAATCTGTTAATTGAAATTTACACGAATTTGTAACAGTGTCAAAGTCCATCTTTTCTGGAGAAAACGTGGAATTTTAAATCACGAATCGTGGGTTTTTTACAAAGGTTGATGATGAATGGCAGATCAAACACCGGGAAAACTAATATACTCTTAAACTTTTTCTTGGAGATAAGTACTATGACATGAAAATGCGAAAAAAGAAAGTCGGTAAACGCCATACACGTTGCAATGATATAGTCCTTGTTAACCATTACCTAAATGGAAGGGAGAGTTCGGGAATTTTTATAAAAAAAATGGCAGATCGTTTAAACCGTATTATGAATTAGTTCAGCGTTAGATTAAATACTAATTATCAAGTTAGAGATAGCATTCATTTTCCAATTTATGAGTGAGTCCTCCTGAGGTTTCGAGCGAAAAATGCTTATTCAAGACCAGATATTAAAGGGCCATTAGCAAAAAGGATGAAATTTCAGCAAAATGTAAATATCGTGTTAGATACGATTCCAAATATGTCAATATATGATGAATGTTAGGTGAAATCAAAACACTTCGCATGAATGAGAAACTTCTTATACAACAGTATATATCAGCATTTGGTGATAACTATGAAAACCCTGGTCACCCTAGATTAATATATGCATAAAGAATTTTAGATTAGAAAACTTTTATTTGAAAAAAGAATTTCATTTTTACTAAATGTTTAAAACATTGAATTATCTTATATCACAAAGTATGCCTTCTTTTTGCCAACGCAATCATCAAAAAAAAAAGCAAGCAAATAAAAATTTTTAATGTGCCTGCCTATTGTTACAAAACCTACAAATTGAATAAAAATGGGATACAATAAATATGATGAAAAGGCAATTGAAGCAGGTTGTGATTGCTCAGAAATGATTCCAAAGAATTAATTTGCAGGATTTGCAGAGCTTTTCAAGCTCTTACTAAATCAGAACATGATATCTTCTTAATGGTTCAGCTAACAGCAATGGATGGTGGAAAAATAAGTGCTAGAAAACGCCTTAAAAAGAAAACTCGTGTCAATAAAAAGACCTTTTATCGCTGAAATCATAACACAATCCTTTGTCAAAAAGCATATCTCAATATACTAGGAGTTGGTAGAACTTACTTTGGAAATATCAGAGGTCATTTAGTAAATAATGGCCTCACATAAGAGCTCATTTCAATGTAAAAAGAATGCCCCGATGAAAAACCAAAATGGTAATCGATAAAAAATGTTGCCAAGATTGTAAAGAATTTTCTTTTAAATCATATAGAAGTACATGGGTTAGTTTACCAAGTCCAAAAAGAACTGTCAATAGAATAACCCAGTCGGTTATATATACTTACCAGCAGAAATATTCATAGAAACTTTCTTGCTGGTCTAGAAGAAGATAGCAATTTGAAGTCATGATGCATTTCGTAAATTATAACATCAATTAACTCCTCAAATTCAAATTATGAGTTCAAGAAACAGACTTGTGTGATAGCTGTCACAATAAAAGGAGACTAAAGACTTGCTAAGAAGATACAAAAAGCATCTGTCAAAAGCAAAATTAGAAAGAAATTATTATAACAAGAATACAAAATTAGAATTATTTGAATGGCAAGACACAGTATGAAGAAAGACCGTGAGATAAAAGTCATTGGAATGATTGTCTATAACCTTTTTACTTTGCGCTCTTCCACAAAGGATTTTGGAGAAAAGGGTAAGTTTTCCTTTATAAATGTGATATTATTAACGAAATGCTAAATAAATGTTGAAATAACAGCAGACGTTAATTGAAAATAATTTACTTATGAAATTCGCATGATCCAAAAAAGCAGTGAACAATTTTTATCAAATTGCTTTTTTAAAAAAGAATTTTTCGGCAAAGTTCACTTTCCCCCAATAAATTAAGTGTAATAATATTTTCATAATAAAATAAATGATGAAATAAAAATAATGCAATTTAAAAAGTTTATTTCCCCTCCCCCAAAAAAAGAAAAATTAAAATTAATAAAATGGCACTAAATTTTCATTACAATTAAATAATAATCTATACATATTATAATATGTGTATGTAAATCTATATTAAAAATTTTTTCCTTGAGATCATTAATCAATTCATTGATTAATTCTACTAAATCCTCAATAATTTGTTAAAGTTTTAGAGATATAAAAGATTTATGTGTCAATTTATTAAATTTTCAAAAATTTTTTTTTCTTCTCAAAAATCACACATACCTCTAAATCTTTTTAATATCAGCTAGCTATCAAGTAGAAGACGATTATTACTCTTGAAAAAATTATCGAATAGGACTTTTTGATTTGCTAAACTGTTTGATTTGTTTTTGTTTACTTAAACAAAATCTAAGATTCTTTTTATTTATCAATGCACACACATATATATATATATATATAATATCACATTACTGTATATTCTCACCTTTTTTTGGGTGGGGTTTTTTTGTATTCTTTTATTTCCATATATGTCCAAAAGCCCACATAATACACATCTATTCTTCAAGAATTTTGTTTTTTAAAAAAATTTTTTTTTTCTAAAATATCACTGACAATAATGAAGTAAATATTTATATATATAAAAAATTGATGTTTGACTAATTTTTTTTATTTTATAGATTTATTTTTTTAATAAAATTTTTTTTGACATATTTACTCCACATACTCGCCTTCTTCAGCACTTGAATCCCCATGATGATGTTTTTGACGAAATTCAGGTTTGGAAGATATTGCTTTACCAACTACTTCTAATTTAGGCGACGAATTTTTATCAACAGCTTCTATTTTTGGTGATTGACTTTTTGATTTATATGTAGCAACAGTAACAGTAGCAGTAGTAGTTGAAATAGAAGATAATAATGACGTTATTAAATTGCTTGAAGAATCGGTACTACCAACATCAGCATCAGCGATACTAAAAGTATTATTAGCAGATGTAACGATGTTAGAAGTAGAAGTGGTAGACGTTGGTTTATGATGATCGTGATGAAGTCTTGGTGATTTTGATGAGTGTGATATGTGTTCACCATGTTTTAATTCAGAATGTCTACTACCACTATTATTGCTGCTACTATTATGATCTTGATATCTTGATTCTGAATGTCGTGATTCGTATTTGGGTTTTTGCTAAAATAAAATTTTTTTATAACAAATTAAAATAAACAAGAAGATCGAAAACATATACTTTTAAAAATAAAATAAAATATATTATATACTTTTCGTCTTTTTCTTCTATCACCATCTCTTTCTCTGTCAGAATAATCACCAGCACTTTCTGCAGAATTATCAGAATTGTGATGACGTCGATGATGATATGATGATCTATGGGTTTTATGTTTTCTTTTTTTATCTGACGATGTATGTTTATCATCTTCATAATCATCATCCTTAAGTGTACCCTCCTCCTCTTCACTGTCATCATCTTTTTTATGAAATTTTTCCTGTGGAAAAAAAAAAAATTAAAAATAAATAAATGATAATGTCATTTGTAGTTACATATGTATATATATATATGTATGTATTAATATTACCCTAATACGGTCCATAAACTTATTAAAAATTTCAATGCGTTGTTCTTCTGTATCGATTGCTTTAAATTCGTCAGTTTTTTCAATGTGTGGTCTTGCCTAAATAATACCGACAAAATAAATTATTACATAAATATAAAGTTTAATGATTTAATTTTTTTAAAAAAAAGGAGATAAAAGATAAACCTGATCATATGTTATTTCTGGCGTCAGGGATATATCCAAATTCTTGTTTAATATTGATTTAAATGCATCTATCTTTCGACGTTGTCTTCTTTCAGATTTTCTTTGTAGCTATTCGGAGGGAATAAAAATAAATTAGCACATTTTACTAAATCTCGGAGTCATTATCATTATCATTTATAATCACGACAAATACTTGTTCAAATATGCTTTTCTGATTTATTTCAGAAATTAAAGATGCTCGTTCATCAGAATTAAGAGTTTCTTTGAATTGTTCAAAAGTCATTCCTGAATTAACTGAAATATCCTTTGACTAAATTAATTAAATTCAAATATTATTGTTACTTATGTTACTAAAAATCAAATGTAACCAAATAAAAAAAAATAGATAATGTTATATTTATATCCTTTGAAATAGATATGTATGTACCTTTAAAACTTCTGTTACAACTTTACGTTGTTGGTACAAAATCTTGTCAAGTTCTTCAACAACATCCCAAAATAACTCTAGAGGATTTGATCCGGGTTGACCAAGCATATTTTGATAACGCTCGTCATTAGTAATTAATGGAAATATTTCCTTCCACTTGGAGTTTGCATTAATTACACTTTTCTTGCGTAATTCGTCCATTAAAGCACGGTATGCGTCTCTGTTTTTACGTTGTTGTCGATTTTGATTTTCAAGTTCACGTTTTTTCTTTTCTGCTGATTCACGTTCCAATGATCTAATATGTTCCTCATAGACAGCCAAAAAATCCAACATATCCATATCTTGTAACTTTTTATCTCGTTGATATTCAGGCGTGCTTGTGTATATAGTTTGAGCCTCAAGCCATCTTGTAGCCTCTGTTATATTTGGAAGTGATTTTAAAAGATTACTAAACTTTTCCATATTTTCCTTACGAATTGCACGTTGAATTTCCTAATTATTATTTATTTAATTATCATTAATTCATTAACTAATTAATTATTAATTTACTATTTCAATGATCATTAAATATGTATGTATAAAATAATTACCTTTTCTTGTTTACGAAGATCGTAGATATATTCACCAAATATTTCTTCTCGTTGTCTATCATCTTCAATTGCTAAAAATGCTTGTTCTTTTCCAAACAATTCATTAATTTTTCTAAAGTCAAAGAATTAAATAAATAAAATGAGTTTTTTTTTTAAAAAGATAAATAATCATTATATCTAAATATCTAAACATACCTATAACGTGTAGATGAATTTACTTCAGGATGAGATTCAAGTAACGATATAAAATCTTGACGTATTTTAATAGCTTTGGCTCTTTTTTCATCCTAAAGATAATAATAGTAACAATAGTAATAAATTGTTATTATTTAATCCATTAAATAAAAAAGATTATGTATATTTGCAAGTCGTGCCTATCTATTTGCATAAAGATAACTCAGCCCCATATATTGGGGCTTATAATCTATTAGATAACCTCTAAATGCGTATATGTATCATGATCTTAAAAGGCCCTGCAAATGCATATTTACATATGCGCAGAAATATGCAAATAAATAGATGCGACTGCATAAGAAAATAAATTATAATTACTTCTTCCTTCTTTCTTAGTCCATCAATATAATCATGAAATGCTTGTTTACGCTCGGCTAATGTTTTAAGAGCACGATACATTGGTTTACCAATAATAGCTCTCATAGTTTGTTCCCATGTCCAATCAGGTTTGACACCCTGTATAAAAAACATCAAAGAAATAAAAATTGTAAGAGAAGAAATAAATGGTCATCTCCACAATTGGTGCATGCACCATGCACACACATATTAAAAACAACCACATACAGATTCTTTAAGTAATTCATGAAAAGCCTTTTCAGCTTCTTCTTTTGTTTCAAATTCGATCTTTTGTGTTTCTTGTTGTTGAATAGGTATGACGGATACATTTGGACCAATAGGAGCAGCGAGACCACCAGATCTTATAGAAATATTACCGGGCGATACATTTACAGGACTAACAATCGGTACACTCAATTGTCTTGCTCTCTCAAAATCTTGTTGACTAGGTGACAACAAAGCATTACCATTTGCTTGTGATGGTGATTCAGAAAATCTATTGGTGAATAAATGTTTAGTATTACATATAAATTGATTTATTTATTTATTAGTTGGTTCATTAATGGTCATGTGCATCAAATAATAATAATAATAATAATAATAATAATAATAATAATAATAATAATAAGTTTACGTACGATAATTTTTTTTTGTCTTTTTCAAGTTTATCAAGAAATTCTATAAAAATCAAAATAATAAATGTATTAAAATCAAAATATAAAATCAATTCTAAAAAAAGAAAGAAAAGAAAGATTACCTTTGTATTCAGCTGGAATTTCCCATTTAGATTCTTTTGTATTGGAATTATAATAATATTTACTGCCATTATCCGCTGTAAATTCTTTCCAAGCACAAGAACCTATTGATCGCTAATATACATTATTGTCATCATCATCATCATCATCATCATCATAATTATTATCAATTGAAATAACTATTAATAATTTTTTTAAAAAAATCTAGACAATTGATAAGTTAACTAACCTCTTCAGGAGTTTTTAATTCGTCGGGTTTATCCCAACTACTCTGTTTTGTGATAGAATTAAAATAATATTTTCTACCATCAGGGGAGGAATGTTCAGTCCAAACTGTAGAAGTCTTTAGATATCGTACAATATATATGCAATATAAATAAATCACGATTAATAAACCGATTACTAATAAGAGAGAACTCGGGAAGAGAAAAGAAAAAAATACAAACTGGTGGTGGTGGCGGCGGCGGCGGTACATATGGTGGAGCTTGTGAAAAAGGTTGCCCAGGGGCAGGTCTAGTTGGGTATGATTGAAAGCCTGCTGGTCTCTGTTGTAAATCAAAGAATCAAGCAAATTTGAAAAATTAGAATGATCTAAATTTATTAAAAGAAGACGTTTACTTATTTACCCCATACATAGGCCTTGGTTGACTATATTGTGGAACACCTGGTGGATTCCAAGACATTTTTTATTTCAACTTTTTTTTTAAAAAAAATTTTTTAAGCATAAATATATATACTAGGAAATGATCACACAACAATTTTTAGATAAATTAAAAAATACGTATTTATTAAGAATAAATCATTTTCTAATATAATGTATTTTATTATGAGTAGTGTGAATATAAATCATAATAAAAGAAAAGGTATCATTAAATAAATAAAAGAAATTTAATAGAAATAATACTAGCGACCACCTTTTTTTTTCTTTTTCTTCTTTGAAGAAGTTTGAACATTTGATGGTGATGATGATGACGATATGTTTGTGGAAGTCACTTCTGATGCAACAACTTGTGATGACTCTGATTTTATAGTGGCCACATTGGTGGAAGTGGTAGAAGCAGCAGTGTTGGTGGCGGAAGGTGTAGTTGATGCCGTTGGTTCAACAACTGAAAAAAAAAAAGAAAAATTCAATCAAGAAAAAAAATATATCCCCAGAATTAATTAATTAATTATTAAATCCAGATTCTTGACAACGAATACAAATATCAAATAAACATTATATTCTAATTGTTTTTCTTGATAACTTTTAAAATAATACCTTGATCGTCTGGAATTTTACGATTTTGCATTTTACACATTAAAGATTTGTTTAATTTTTCAAATTTCTTTAGATCAACAGCTTGATCTGTTTTATACTTCAACACTCTAAAATTATCAGTAACTTTTAAAACAAGTGAAGCCTGAGAATGTTTCCAAGAAACTAAATATCTTGTCTATATTTTTAAAAAATAATTACAAACAAACAATTATCATATTATCGCATCATCATATTGCCATATTATTGTTTAATACCTCTTTTGGAGAATTCAAATAAAGTTCCTCAACACCAGTTTGAAATTCATTCCAGTCTGTGATATATGTCATGTTTAATTAAAAATTTTCTAATCAAATATACAAAAAAAATATTTTATGGAAAAAAACAAGGTCATGTCACACGAACGTTAAAAATCTAGAACATTACCAATTTGAAAAAAAAGTTTATTTATTTATACAAATGTAATTTATGTAAATTTACAAACAAAAAAAAAAAAAATGAAAAGTGTGTGTATATATATATATATATATGTGTGTGATGTATATGCATGCGTGTATTTATAAAAATGAAAATATAAAATCAATAATCTCCATTCCAGAATGACAATTGGGGCGTGAAATTTCCAGCTTGACCAAAATCTAATTTGGTTGTCCACATCTCAATTGCAATGTAATAATAAAATAATGATAATTGCTATGTGATAATATATAAATAATGAATGATAATTAAATAATATAATAAATGTATATGTTATTTTTCTATTTTTTCAAAAATTTCTATTTTTTTTTTTAAAAAGTTTCTATCTAGATTTTTTTCTATCTCGAAAGAGATTTATTATTATTAAACGTTGAACATTTTAGACCCTTGATTAAAATCATCGTCTTCAACTTTTTCGTGAAAATCAAGATCCACTGAGAATTGAGAAGCGTCGTCGCTCATTCCCTTATTATCATCATTATTAGATGAATTTCCTAATGTAGTTGATGAACCAGGAGGTGAAGGTGGAGATAAGGTGGTTGTTATTGTAGTAGTTGTGGTGGTTTTGATGGTTGCAGTATTAATATCACCACCATTATCGATTTTATTACTTTTATAATGTTGATAAACTCTTTTTACTAACACATATTGGCACACAGCGACCAATGGCTGCACACCGGTTACATGCCACATGGAAGATAAAAATAAATTAGAGAAACTTGCAACAGTGATAAATTTTTGACGATAAACACCAAAAGTAAACCACCATGGCGCAGCAACCAAAGGTAATATAGCAATGTAAGTCATTGTATATTTGAGCCTATCTAATGCTTCGCGCGTAACATTACCATTTGATTGATAATAATTCGCAGAAGATTTAACGGCGGTAGTATTAGTAGCCGAAGCTGCAGATGATGATGCAGCAGTTGATGACTTGAATTGATTAACTGATTGTCTTAATATTAACATGAAATTAATTCCATAATAAATTCCAACAGCCGATAATACCAAATCATGAATTGAATAAGCAATATACTGAGCCATTGTCCAATTATTAGCTAATTTGTCATCTCCATTGTCTCTGGCAATTCCAGATAATACGGCAAATGGAAAACATGTTAAAGTAGGATATAGACACCAGCAAAGCAATACAATATTTAAGACGGTTGGTGATGGAATATAAATAGTACGTATTTTATAAGCATCGTCATTACTATTATTGGTTCTAGATTTTCTACTCTTTGATGAAGTTAGTCCGCGAGAATAATTAGCTGGAATCGTGTAAATTATTCCTATGATATAAGTTACAGCACCATAACATAACACAGTCCAGCCGATTTCTTGAACAGTTTCTTTTTGTAAATAAGTTGTGTAAACATCCAATATCATAAGCAACGAGTGTAATGCACGAAGATAGCAAGCAATTGTCCAAAAAAACAATAAACTGTCAACTGGAAGGGGTCTTATCCCGCCGCAATGGTTGATAAATAAACCTTTCCACATATGTTTATAACGGTAACCAAATATAAATGATCCAGTAATTGCTAATATTCCATAAGTTATCAATGAAGTCATCGCTTCCATTCTAAACATATCACTCATAACGCAATTATAGATTTCTATACGCCAATCACAAAACCTCAATGTTTCGTTGACGCTCATTTTTTTATGATTATGATTAGGTTTGGGTTTGAAATTCGGATTAGGATTATAAATAGGTAATTAATGACTCGAAAAAGGTTAGAAGAAGAAGAAGAGATTGTTTTTTTTTAAAAAAAAAAAGAATGAATAAATATGAACGATTGATGAATGAACGTTGTTAATTATTATTTATATGCAGTTTGAGAATAATAAATTTTTTTGAAGGAAATACTTTTAGCAGATATTTATAATATTTTAAAATTTAAAATTTGAAATCATGACAAGGAAGGAAAAACTATTTAGAGTCGAATTAAAACCTTGCATAATATTACATCTTTGAATAACTCATTAACAATGAACATATTTGTTTATTTATCTCACTTAGAATTAGAATTATTGTTTTAAAGTAAATATGTGATCATACGAATAACCAATTATTTATTTCTAATTACAGTGTTACCCCATCTCCAGCCAGACCATTATTCCATTATCAAAGACTTTATTAGTAAATCTTTATACTTGCTGTTTTACTGATTTGGAAAACAAAGAGTGCACTAATGTTGATTTTCAAATTTCGAACTAAAGATCGTACATGATTTTATTGGAAAATCTTTATCATATTTGTTATGTTTAGAAAACAACTTACCTTAACTGTTAAACAGAATAAATATTTTTTTTTTATTTTTATTTTTTTTATTAAATAACAATAATGTTCTTAGGGGGGGATTATTTATTGGGTGACGATCATTTGTATACATGCATATATTAATTTATTTACCCTTTGCATACATACACACTCACACATGTACATTATTAATTATAATGGATCGATGATTTCATTGGAATCTGGATGTTACATTGAAAATCTCGAAAGACCTTAAAATAATAATAATAATAATAATAATAAAAAATAGATGAAGAAACAAAGAAATTGCAAGAATGAATTCAAAATCGTCAATCACAGCAACCAATTAATTAAACTGATTGATAAAAATAAAAATAAAGTATATAAACACAATCCTAGAGTTCATCGAGATTGTTTGTTGTTACATTTGATAAATAGCAATAATAAACGATGCATAAAAATTTTTAGACTTGACGAGTAAATAATTAAAACTATCAAAACAAAAATTTTGGTGGTAGGCAAATAAGTTTATTTAGGTGGACGGAAAAAAAGTTTGTTTATTTTTTTAACAAAGGCTTTGAAACTTTGTTGCTTTTGGGAAGACTTGATTTGTATCCATCACGCATTTCACCTTGCCAAGAAATATACTACTTGTGCTGTTTTCATTGAAGTCTGCAATACCAGAAACTTCAACAAATGAAATATGAATTCTCTCTGAACATCCTTCATAAGGAACTTTTCATGTTGAGACCATATTAACTTCGCAATGTGCTTTTCCTACATGATTGTTATTATCCAATCTCGTAAGCAGAAAATCAGACAGAATATATAGTAGGTTTTTTGAGTCTATGAAAGGCCCTTGTTGTATTTCGGAGGTGACGTCTTAAATCTATAATTATTACGATTGTTCATTGGATCTTTATAATCATGGGTAAGTTCTATAATAGCATTTTATAATTCTGCTAATTTAATTCTTCTAAATGGATAATACGATGATTTCGGTAACTGAAAAATCAGGCAATGTTCTTAGAATTTTGAAAATATCATAGAAATTTGCCAAATCGTCTACTACAAACTATAGAGCTCTTTTTGATAAACTGTAAGAACTTCAAGAGACCACCAAGCAACAGGATGGGAGACGATTTACTGATATACTGTAGATCTTTTTTTAAAAAAATTTCGGTAAGCGGCGCAGCACGTAATTTAGAATTAAGGGTTGTGCGACAAATAAATATTGTTATTGCAACTTAATCAGGGATAAATGACTGGGGAAAAAATGTCCTCGGTTACACTGATTCGCAAACATAATATATTGGTAATAATAAATAGAGAAATGAAAAACATTGTTTTATACCAAAAAAAAAAGTGTAAAAATAGTAAAATATTTTATTACATACCCTAATTTGTCAATGCTAAAAAGTTATTTGCAAATATTAATATGGTCAAATTATTTCATTTGGAGTCAATTATCAAGTTGCAAACTTTAAAAGACATTCTAAGAAAGAGTAATAATAGGATTTTGAGATCATTTATCATATATTTCTATTATCCAGTATTAGTGTTTTTTCATGTGCAAATTTGGCATGAGACATTACAATTCATATTACATCACAAGAAGTTTATTTTTTGGGATTACGCTTTTACTCTGATATTAATCCTTGGCAAACAGACGATGAAACATTTTTAATTTATGCTCATTTTAAGATATCAAAATTTCCTTGTTAATTAATAAAGATAAATTTCACATGTCCTCGGCTATTTTGATTTTAAATGTGTTCGGGAAAATCGATTCGTATAATTATAAAAAACTAAGATTCGCATTAATATGATTTTGTCATAATAGTTTTCCCGGTCCCGGGATCAAAACATACTGTATAGTATTTAATACTAATACAGTATTAGTATATTTTCCCGGTCCCGGCAAAATTGAACACTCTTTTTTTTTACCCTGAACTTAATATTAAAATAGTTAATTGCTGTTTCGTATATGTTTCATCTTCTTTAGATAGAATCCTTTTTGGCTTAGATACCCACTATTATATTATATTTTGAGTTAGCTTCAAAAAACAATATTAATATTAATATTAATATAGTAAATTCCTTGAATGTAAATCTTTTCCATTTTTCTCAAAATCATAAAAAATTAAGATGTGCACAAAAAAATAAAATTTTTAAAAACAAATTTCAACCACTTACTTTAAGAAAGAATGATAAATTCAACACGTGCAGAAATTCTACAACTTTATCGTTCTTTTTTACATGTAATAGAAAATTGGCCTGCTGACCATTTAAGACCAAATCGTAATTTAAAACAAGTTTTACATTTACGGGTAACAGAAGGTTTTCAGAAAAATATGATTATTAATGATCCAGAAGTTCACAATAAATTGGTTACTGAGGCAGAAATTGAACTAGATGCATTAAAACGTTTAGCGAATAACGAGTTCAAGGAAAAGGTCAGCGTTCGTTTAATAAATAATTAGTATATATCAATATTATATATTAATTTTCATAAAACAATAATAGTATCCACTTTCAGATAAAATGCATACACCAGCATCAAATCCAAAATATTATACTAGATTAATTGCAGAAATTGATAAAGCAGCCAAAGCAAAAATAGTTGAAGGTGCTAAGAAGCCTTCATTTTGGAAAAGGATTTTTGGATGATGAATTTTTTTTTTTTTAATGAAAACAATTAAAAAATATTTCTAAATAATCAAGAGCTATGCCCAGATTAGCCTTGTGTACACGAGGAACATGATAATGACTGTAGAGAGTTCGAAGTAGCAAGTGCACTTTAATGTTTGTAAATTTTCGATAATCAAAATCACCTAGAACAATTTTTTCTCTCTCCCATCTTTAACAATTATGTTACCTTGATGCTTCCTTGTGATTGCTTAATATTACAAAAGCAAATACACCACCAATCATTCATTAATTATCGTCAAGAATCTTATAACTATCCAGTAAACTTTGCTCCACATTTCAATTCATGTCTGTCCCCCCAAATGCTGATAATAAACATTTTGTTTATGTATTTGATTTTTTTTTTTTTAAAAAAAAATTAAAGAAATGAAAACCAATCAAGAAGTAAGCAAGTATTATTATTTTTATTAAAAGAATGGTGGTTATCGCCACTTGTCATCGCTTAGTATTAGGGAAATAAATGATTATTCATCAGAATTAACTGACAATGTTTCTGCTCTAGCCAATAACTGGACTGGTTTACAACGCCCAGTCAGATTGGTATTTGGAGAGTTGTTTGATTGCTGTACTGCTGATTTTGTGGTTAGCTAGTCTTTAATTATTGGTTTGATATGTAAGCTCTAGTTCGGTTAGCGGTTGTGGCATAATTGATGGACCCTGCAGCCTCTTTCTGCATTGACATTTCCAGATTTTTTTTTCTGTACTATTTAATAATTCGACTGGAATCCAATGTTTTGTTCAATACTTGCATTTTACAGTGGATGACAGCAAAGCCATTAACTGTTATTGGCTTACAAAAATGGTAGCTGCTCTTCAGGGAGGCGATTAATTCAAAAAATTTAATTTAGAAGTCAAGAAATAATTTGTTGCAGCCAGATTTTTTATTTTAAACTTTCAAAAGTTATAAGGTTTAAAATTTCGCTATTTTGTAATATAATTTTCACCTGTGTTATATTAATTATATTAATAGTAAAACAAATAACTTGCTAATTTCTCTATTTCGAAGATAATTTCACGTGATAAAAGAAATGTGAAAAATGAAATTGGCCAATTAAATGAGGTGTTTCCTTTTAATTGGCTAATTTCATTTTTCACATAGACAAAGTGATATAAAAGAAGAATGGTATGAAATATGATGTTTCTATTTTTATCAATAACAAATGACACAAGAGTAATTAGTATATAAATAATTAAATAATATTAACAAATTAATCTTTAATTTTAAAGCTCTTAATAAGTTAATTTGAATCTATATCATTTCGTAAATTTCATCTTTTGGTAAATTAGAAATTTTTAATTT